GACTCTTAGACTTTGCATAGTAGTGCATGCCTGTATTCGTACAATTGTTTTCTGACACTGAGTTCGATATGCTGAAGTAATCTTGTTGTACACAACGCGATACAATCGAACGTGAAGGAAATTGAAATTTGGCACGAATACATGTGACGAATTTGCAATGAAAATAAATTACGAGACAAATGTCAAGAATGTAACTCAATAAAGGATTGGATGAGAAGAGAAAAACAAGCATCCGCGAGTTGGAAAAATTTGCTTCCTGTTTCAAATAGGACGGTTTTAATAGCGTGGAATCTCACATATTTGGCTAATTCCAGTCAAAATCAATGTACGCGCACATTTTACATTTCGTAAAAACTTCTAAAATACACCAGTTACAGGAGATACAGGAGATACGTGGATGATATATTCACGAGTCTTGATAACAAGGAAGAGGCCTCCGACCTACTTTGCCTGATGAATAATCTGCATCATAAAACAAAATTTACGATGGAAATGGAGCAGTTTAACAAGTTACCCTTCCTGAACGTCCTCATGTTTAGAGAGGATGATGGTTCAATAAGACGCTCCGTCTTCCACAAGACTACGTGGAAAGGGCAATACCTACATTTTAAAAGCTTTGCGCCAATACAATGGAAGCGTAATCTAGTATATACCCTTTTTCAAAGAGCGAGAAATATTTGCTCCAGGGAGACCATAGATACAGAAACTGCCCGTATCAAAGAAGCCTTACTTAATCGTGGTTATCCTGCACGCTTCATTCAGAAGTACAGCAACCATTTACGGCCAAAGTTGACGGAACAGTCCGTTCCGAAGAAGCCCGTTATAATATGTCTACCTTTTAAGGGTGACAACGTCTCAAACACAATCAAGCGACGCTTGCGTTGCACTATAGAAAGAACGTACAACGCAGCAGAGCTTATCTTCATCAGTTCCACAAAAAGCCTTCCAATTAACCGGGCAAAGGATGCCTTGCCAATGCACACCACCCCCAATTGTGTGTATGAATTCACATGCACTTGCGGATGCAAGTACATTGGGCGAACGCAAAGGCAATTGGCAACCAGGGCCGCTGAGCATTTGCCTAATTGGCTTTTCAAACAGGAAAATAGAACCCCCCGTTCGTCTATAACGGAACACCTGTTAGATAGCGGTCATGTTCTCGACCCTAAAGCATTCTTTCGAGTACTTGACCGAGCACGTACAACTCGAACCTTGCGTTATTTGGAAGCAGCCTACATACGGAGTGAGAAACCAGACCTGTGCAAGCAGTTAGATCACGTGATCAATCTGCAATTGCCCTGGTAATCTCACGCCCCTATTTTCCCCTGACTGTGATTTGTTGTTAACATTTCGTCTTACTTTTTTCCTTTTTGATGCTCATGTGGACGTCTTAGCTGATTATTGATTATTTTGAACTTTGACCTTGCTCCTATGCACTGCCATTCTGTACAAATTCATACTGCTGTGCGCGTTCATTCGTTACCTATGTTATGCAGAGACGGGTTGCAGTTGAAAAGCCGTCCCGAAATTTGTTGGCCCCAATAAATTCTGCCGTAAATGCTTGTTTTCAATTCATACCGGGGATAAAATGTTTCAAATGTTTAATTCACGGGACAGCTGTTGAATGTGTTGAAAGATACACTAATATGGACGCTGACCGTTCCGCTTGGAACGGTAAGACTGCAACTGGGAGTTGTGCAATGCACATCACAAACCATCCATTCCTTGGGAAGAGCACATCTACTGGCCTTCGGAGTGCAAGCCTGTGGTGGATTTATTTTCAAAGCTAAGTTTTATATTTAAAAGTCCGGTTAGACTAAGATGTACGAGGCTGCAATGCAGTCGATGCGAATTTTGTATTGCATGTAGATAAATATATGCTAAATGTTGCTATCCGCAATACATTTCGCTCGCATTTCTTTATATACTAATGCAGGAGATTGTTTTTTTCTATAATACGCTACGTTAACTAATATCACTAAATTGGAAATAACCTCCTCATTCCAAAATTCCCTATTGCAGTCACATGCAATAATCGTAGCATAATTAAAAATCCGCGAAAGGTTTGGGACTCCAAGATCTGTCAGGTGAATTGTAGGCGGCTAGAAACCGCCATAAAAATAGCTGACCGTTGTTTTTGCAATCCTGCGTTTTAGAGCTAAATGGAAGAGCATGAATATGTTTCAAAAGTACCTGCTGAGATTTTGAATCCATACTCTCAAATATTAAACACATTTGATTATGATGTGGAAATGTATAGAATGTACCTTTCCTTGGATAACATGCAGATGTATTTCAGACTAGGAACATCGTTTTTAATATCCGTTTTTTATAAACGTTATGCAATAGAGCTTGTTTCTTTTCTTATTACACACGTGTTTAACCATGTCAGTTTGATGAATTATCGTTTGGGACAACTGAAACGAACAGTGAAAATGCATCAGATGTGTCTCATTCAATGTGAAATTCATCACGATCTTTATTTTCGATTAGTTCAAAACTCTCTATCCTAAATTCCACAGGTTGGCGAAAACTTAGCATTCTTATGGAATACGGTGGAAACAACCAGAACATGCTTGTCTCTACAAACGAAACGAGATGTATTAACTTCCCCTAATTTGCCGGCAAGTTTCAGCAGAAAAGAATATTATAGCGCGTGTTTTTACAAAATATAAATGCACTTGAAAGGACATACAAAAAAATGGACATATTTCTACTACGTAAGTTGTAATCTAACGAAGTGTGATCTTTGCCAATGACATCAAAAAACTATTTATAAATCCCGCACGATAAAGTGACTGAAACACCTTGCGTTTGCGCTGCATGAGTATCTATATTAAAACCCCCTTTAAGTAGTCATTTTCCAATTTTACCATTCTGACAGTATTTGAACTAGCATTCCCTGAGGTATCGTTCGATAACTTCACAGAGTAACGGGATACAGTGATGAAAAGAATCGATAAAATTTAACTTTAAAAAACATAGGCAGGGCAAGTATGCAAGAGCGCAGAAATTTACATGGGGTTTGTCAAACTCTGACCGCGGTAAGCGCAGGCCCTGTACGATGGTCTTCTGTGCGCATAAGATCG